TGAAGAACGTTCAAAGAGGCCGTTGTTGACTTTCGCCAGAGACTCGGTTCCCGATCCTTCCCTGACCATTCATATCTTTGGACAATGGGGTTTGCGAGGTGCTCTAGGGTCGTAGCCAGTGAACCGTTCGTAAAGATGTCTTTCTTGATGCCGTGATCAGCGATGTACCAGCTCAGGAGATCTATCGCGGCTTTAGAGAAGGCAAGATAAGTCGGTCTCTTTGAGTCACTCGAAGAGTCCCACTTCGTCAACGGTGCATCCGCAAAATCAGCAAGACATGATAGAATCTCTGGTTGTGAGTCGTCTTTCTCAAGGCATAGTGTCTTCAAGCACTCAATGATCATGGTTTGAAGGCGGGATAAGCGATCAATGTCTGGCGAGTATGGAGGGGATATTGAATTCCAAGCGAGAAGACGTATATGTCCGAGGATGCTTTCCACCTGCTCTCCAGCAATTTCATCCTTGTATAGTCGATAAATCTGCTGGAATGACTGGAGGTATGCTATTGCCGCATCTTGATTGGGGCGTTCCAAGTCAAGTATATCTTCCCTATCTGCCGGGTGTCCATCTACCCAGAGTAGCCAAGCAGAACGCAGGGCCTGTGTACTTAGACTACATGATGCCTGCACACGACGAAGAATATTCGACAGGCTGGCGTATACAGCCTCACTGAACTCAAGAAGCTGTAGGCTGATCAACTTTCGGAAATATTCAAGCAGCCGTTCCCAAGACTGATCGAATAGATCGTCTTGAACGATTGGCTCGAAGAAAGTAGTGATGAGATCAGAAGCCCCCTTTATCATGACAACAGTGGTCTCAGTCCAAGCCTTGAGATCATCGGAAGTGCGATTGCTACTCTCCTCTCGGGTGATGGTAAGCTCGGTCTCGATTTCCTCTACCATTCGGAATAAAACACGGTTCAGACACAAGCGCCATGCCTTGGGCGACAATTGCTGACCGTAGGCGTCAAAGATCCTCAAGAGTGTTTGAACAGCGCAGTTCCGAATTTCCGGCCTGCTATCCGTCGTAAGGTCAACGATTCGTAGAAGGAGCAATAGCCACAATGCGTTTCGCGACACTGAAGGATCCTCCCCCTTGGCTAGCCCTGCAAGGGTGTCCTCAGTCACGGAGGAGTCAATATATACCTCAATGCAAAATTGCTCGATTTGTCCCTGGAGGAAGTCTGAGACATTCCAGAAAGATGAGGTAGTTGTCAATGAGATATTGAAATCCTGCTGTTGTAAGGCAAATTTGGAAAAAGAGTCCACGAGACTCAACCGACAGGGCACTGGAAGCAAGGAAATGAAGTCGGAAGCTATGAGCTGCAGAGACTTGTACGCGACTCGAACAAGTCGCGGCGAATTTGCTGTCGATGATGGCTGACGCCCTTTCTTTGGTGTTTCGGTGCCATTGGGCTCGCCGAAAACGCTTGTTATGAGATCGAAAACAACGGACCATCCATCAACGAATGTTTCGGCATATTGTTCGAGTATGCTCTTTAAAGTTTCCAAGCTCTGCTCATGAACTTCGGCCACGGGCGCTGAAGGCGACCCTGCCGAACAAGCTCCACAATCATAGAGCAGTTGAACTTGATGCTTGAGTGTTTGGAGGTTTCTCAATTGCCGTGCATTCCGCTCGGAGACATCTCCGGTATCCGTGTGCTTCAGTGTCTGGAAAACAACGTCATTAAGAACCTCGTTGGCTCGTAGACGAAGCTTTTGGATATTTGATCTGTCCGCTGCACTTGACATCAATCTTCCCGTAAGAAGTTGCCAAGCGTCTTGATCAGTATCAGCTAGTGATGAGAAACGTTCAAGGTTTGCCCTGGCTAGCTCGTTCGCCTTCTCGAGGACAAATTTCAGGAGTTCATCTTGCGTTTTCGACTTTCCCATAGAGCGAGATACACGGTGGGTGTTTTTGCGCATCAAATATGAGCGCGACTGAGGTGAAAGAACGGTGCTTGTTGTCTCAGCCGATTCTTGCGTCGATTCTTCGGGTGCTCCAGAAAGATCTAAGAGCGCAGTCAAGATTTCCTGAAATGAATCGCTGGGATATTCGCTAGTACTCTCTAGCATTTTAGCCGATGCTGCCTGCACGGCTAATATCTCAGAATTGAGATTAGCCTTAGGCACATCGACACCAGCGGCAGAGGATGTTTCTCCGGAAGTAGTGGTTGATGCTTGTGACTTCGTGGAAGCCATACCGATCACCAAATCTGTGTCTTGTAGGGTCCCTAGTATTATTGACCAGGCCGGCTGGTCTAGTGTAGGGCCTAAAGCGATGCCCAAATTGAGCAGCGCCCGCAAGCACAGGAGGTTCCGGGTACTGAGGGACACAAGCGCAACGTCCGAAGGCGCACTGGAAGTCTCAGCCGGTAATGGGGAACCAATAAGCGACGCCTGAGACCCCTTCGATTTCTCATCTGATGATTTGTTAGACTGAGAAGCGGCTGTGGTAGGCGCTGCAGTGCCTGCAGTCCTTGTGGAAGTTGCGTCTGCAGGCATGGCTGCCTTCCCTATAGTTGTTAAAAGAGCATCGCGAGGCGTAGATAACCTGAGAAGGCCAGCAACGTGGGCTAACTTCTGAATTGATCGAACAAGGTTGTGGTAGAAGTCATCATCAAGCGAGGCATATAGAAATGTTGAGCAAGCGGCAAGGATAGCAGGCCAGCATGTCTCGATGATTCCGGCACAGCTTTGTATTGCTGGGAGTTGGGGATGAGATTCCAGCAGCAGGGGATTGATCGGTACAGAGGACTTTTTGGGACCCAACGGCTGCAATCCTTTCGAAGAGTTCGTCCGTTGAAGGTCCTGTGAAGGCCGAGAAGAGCCACCATCTGGGTGGGGACTCATGACACGACTTCTTCGTTTTTGCTTCAGATCGGGCACCGTCAAGGGAAGTATGAATTTCGCGAGTCCTTCAGCAAAGCTACCGATGCAGTTCAACACAAGACTATAGATATAAGTATCAGGAGGAGTAGGAGGATCAGTCTTGTCAAGCAACTCCATATACGGTGTGCGAACCACACTCCACTGACTGCTGATTCCTGGTACATCAGTGTCCGTTGATGGAACGGTGGTTCCGATGACGCCAGCAACCCCACCAGCCTCGAGCGTGATCTGCTCCTCAGTGATAGATCTCGCATGCTCAACTCGGGAAGGGACGGTCGATCGGCTACTAACTCCGATCAATGTGGGCTTTTCGGAAGTTAGGCGGACAAGAGAGGCCATGTGGTCTTTGAGGATATTCTTTCTCCGGTCATCCCTGTCGTACAGCGAATACATGAGCCTTACCAGACCTGGTTCGGCATATAAGCCTCGAAAGACCTCCATGCAGAGGACTCGTTTCCAAGGGGAGTTTCCGTCTGGCTCAAGGAGATGCGTCAAGAGACCAAGGGCCATCTCGCACTCCGCGGGAAGGAGTGACATGTGGCGTTTGAGGAGCACCAAGAGGATGCGACTGACTCGAACAGTCTGCGAAAAGCTATGCCGTTCAGACAGATACCTTACGATCAAGGGCATGAGCCGAACTCGCAAAATCTGCGTTAGCTCGGAATGGACAACGAATAATTTGCCGCTGTTGACCAGGATGCTCTCAATAAGCTCAAGGGTGAACGATGAAGAGAGGGATTTGATTCGAAGGAAGTACAAGGGTTCGCCATCAATAAGTCGACAGAGGTCGTCCAGGACCTTGTGAGTCAGTGAGCCATGAAGTCATGTCAGCTTAAGTGGAAGGCCACCTACCCGCAGAGCATCGTATGCAAAATACCCTACATTCACAGGGTTCCCGTCGACCTTAACAGTCGTCGTTGGAGTTGTTTTATCGAAATTCTCTGGTTCTCTAGTCAGGCCTGTGTCGCGAAGGAATAGAAAGTACATGGTTACTGACTGTCTTCGATCGATACACGGTCAAATGTTGATACGATCAGTTGCTGCAATGTGGCTGCGGCGGTACTGGAGACTGCAAGCATCTTGTTCCCTTGCAGAGTAGCACAGATCTCCAAAGTGCTTACTAGGAGGTCTCCTCCCAGGTCACTGGAGTAGTGCTGCAATAGGGAAGGCAAAGACTGCAATATTTTGAGCTGAATGTCCAGGCCTTCGCAACGTCAGTATGGAATGTAGTGTTTGTAGGTGGTAACTTACTCATGTTCGTTGTCTCCTTCAACCCAGCAAGTACATCTTTGAGCCGCTCAGATGGCAGCGATCGTGAGGCCACTAGCCTTTGCAGACAGACGACCCCAATGCCTGCAAGCTTCGCATGGCGGCTGTGGCACGCAAGGATAAATGGATTCGCAAACTTAGGCTTGCGCACCAAATCTATAGAAAGTTCAGCGTATGCCCTTGACGGAGGTGCAAGCTGGTGGCTTGCAAACGCTCACCTGCCGAAATCTGCGCTTCAGAAGTAGAAGGCAATGCCTTCAATTCATTAAGGGACTCTTCAGCTGCCTACAATTTAGTCAGTACTGCACTTGCGTATCCCTTTTAATTGAGTGATTAAACATACATTACGCAATTCAGAGTTTCTTCTCTTGGATTCCTGAATCAGGTTCAAGAGCTCTGTCTGCAAAAATTGAGAGGACATTTCCACCGGAGTGTTTAATCAGTACATGGCCGATGCCACTCCCTATCGATCAAATAGTAGTATCACTAGGCAGATGTGGCTTCATGTGGTTGGGTCGCTGGTTGGACGACGGAATACAAAGCTAAGCACTTGAAACACGACAATACCAGACCAATATGTTCTAGATACAAGCCGCATCAATATAAACTTGCAGCAGCTGTAGCAGACAATGACTGGCTCATTTAAAACAACTCAAAAGCAATGGCATCAGGAGTGACATCTTGGGAGCGCCAAGGCACCCGCGGAGATAGAGCTATCACGTGATATATACAGCCGTTATCATCACGTGCGGTAGTTCTTCAGGAACCCGGCGGGACCAGATACGCAGCCCAGCCAAACGGCCGGAAGTGGGATAAGGTCACAGTGCCCCTCCTCCGCCCCGAGGATCGAAACGTCTCCCTTACAACTTCCTATCTAACTTTCGCTCACTTTCGACCTAACCCTACCTCTTATCTGCACAATGGGAGCTAAAGTGCCCAGAAATTTCAGACTGCTCGAAGAGCTGGAGAAGGGTGAGAAGGGCTTGGGAGCTGGTAAGTGCTATGCTACTCATAGTCATAAGAAACCCATTTCGCTGACGTATTCCAATCGCTATTACCTAGAGTCATGCTCCTATGGTCTTGCAGATGGTGAAGACATGATGATGAGTAACTGGAACGGCACTATTCTTGGCCCCCCTCACGTTCGTCCACCGCTTCCGGGTCGCATCCGTTATACTACACAGTAGCGTCACTGACTTTATGAACGATCGCAGAGTGTCCATGAGAACAGAATTTACAGCGTCAACATCCATTGCGGTCCGGACTACCCTGACAACCCCCCTACTATTCAGTTTGTATCCCGAGTCAACTTGCCATGCGTTGATGGCCGGAGCGGAAAGGTAAGGATCCGTCCTGTCTCGACCACTACTACGTGAAAGGTTTCCAGTCTGACTTCATATAGGTCGATCCTACCAAGCTGCCTTGCTTGGCTCAGTGGAAGCGCGAGTATACCATGGAAACTATTCTAGTCGAGCTCAGAAGGTAACCATTGCCTGACCTTCAGGCTATTGTGTCTTTATACTAACAGTTTCCAGATATATGGCTCTGCCCCAGCACAAGAAGCTTCCGCAGCCTCCGGAAGGCTCGAACTTCTAGAATAACGGTATCATGACTGGTTGGGGACACGAAAGCGGAGTATATGGTTGGTTTCTAAGTCAGTTTCATCTGCATTTCTTTTCAATGGCTTATTAGAGCATGTACAGTCTATGCATAACGGCGGGCATGGCGCGGTCTTCTTTGAAGCCTAGTTGCAATTCATCGATTTAGAACATTGCTCAGTATGAACCGTGTGTCGCTTTTGTCAAAGCCATATCTGCCGAACTAACAAGGCCTTGTACCCTTGTTTTTGGCGGGTATTCGTTCATATTCGGACAGCTTTCAGAAGCGACCATACCGGCGAAAGACATTAGACCATGATCAGCATATAGAGGAATATCCGGAAATCGGGTCCCTTCCGTCGCCTGTTGTAGATCGGATAACAGTAGAGTCTATACAGCTGCACGGCACGCACTGCAAACTTCCGGTGCAATCGATTCACAAGTAATAGTGTCGGCCATTTGTCAAAATTCTAAAAGTTCCTACACCATTGCATGCCCTGATTACAATATATTATTGTTTAATCACAGTATAGGCATATCATTTCGGTTGCACGTGACGTATTTCGGATTGCCGGAGTAGTCACATGTCTCCGACTAAAGTCCGGAACTTAAGCCTTCAGGATCATGCTGTCTCCTCGATAATGCATAGAACAGTTGTTCCCAGGCAGTCTTCCGCTCATCGTTTCGCAAGTAAGTTTCTTCAGAGACAGTAATGTACTGAGCGTCACAAGAGTTTGACTAACTGCTGTTTTCCTTTCCAGCTTTGGCACTTTATCGAGCGCTCCTCCGACAATGCGCCAAACTACCACATTCTCCCTCCGAACTCGCTGCGTGCAAGCCGTACATCCAGAATAGATTCAACAGATACAAAACGCTTCAGAGTCCGTCTCAAACAGCCAATTCACTTAGGGCAGGCTACGAGGTGCGTTAACAATCGGCTCTCAATCGACCATTCCGTATCTAAATTCCGCGATTTCGCAAACACTCAGGCTCTTGACCTACTGTACTCAGCTTCGCAAGGCAACCAAAATGGCGTTCAACGGATAAGGAAACTCATATCGGAAAGTGAAGCGGCAAAGCGACAGAAATCCGAATGGCACAGGGAACGAGCTAAGGTCATTCCGGTAAAGCCCGTGAGCCGGAAGGAGCTGAAGAAAGAGGCAAACAAACGTTACCGAGTATTGACTGCGAAACGGCACCCGGATGCCACCTCTATTCTTGCACGTCCTCGGCCTGTAGTCAATGGGAAGCGTCGAGTTCCTGTACTCGTGAATGCGCGTGGTTTCCCATTCCTGCTCATCAAGAAGCCCCAGCCTAAGTTTCTTAGCGCCGTGCTGGATTCGAAACTGAAAAGGCGCTGGAAGAGGATGGAGCGCCTAAAAAGGCTCGAGTCTGAGTTGCCCATGGCCAGGGACGAGGATGAATGGGATCTATTAACTGGCCATAAGGAAGATGCAAAGTGGGCTGGGCCAGTTAGAGTGTCACTTAAAGAGGTGCAGGGACAAATATCAGAAGGCGATAGGAGGACCAAGGAGCTGGCGCAAGCTATGTGGAAAGTCGTTCTTGAAGAGCGCAAGCTGGCGGAACAAGAGGAGAAGCAACGGGTCGAGCAAGCCGGAGAGCAACCAGCGGAAGGAAAAATGAATTCCTCAGCAGAGGAACACGATAAGAAACGGCCGAGTGAGGGATGAATCAATGCCGGAAGAAATGTTCTGTTACAGCCATCCAAAGCTTGCGCTTGGCAGATCATCCTGTCCAGCACATTATCCTTATGAGCCCAAAGCCGTCACATCCACCACGCTACCAGTACGGTGCTATTGTGAGAATGCTCCAGCGTCCCTAATTGGAGCTGAATTCGGCGTATTCACTACCGTTTACGGGGTACGCCGCTTCTCCGGCCTTTCATCATGTCCCTTATGACGGGTCAACGCTACTACCAACAGAGTGCGTTTGGAAATAAGAAATATGGCAGGTACATGTGCATAGTGCAACAGTGGCTGGCGCATGTACAATCATAACTACCACATACTAGTCTAATGTCAAGTACAATGTCTCACAAGGGATTCATAACTGCTTCCATCTGCTATGCGGTAATAGACAAATGCTTTCGTAGGCTTACTGCACACCAAACTTCGTGGTTGGCTATCAACTGCTCAACGCCAACCAGCTAGCGTCCTTGTCATACAGCCGAGATTATTTACAATATAGTAATTCCAAAGAATGCCAACTTCTAGTGGCTCGATCCTCATCAAGCACAGAACTGAATTCTCGCCAGAGATCTCATCTAGAGACCCCAGCTTCTAAGCAGCTATCTTCATATTCTCCACAGCAGCCGGAATACCATCCTCCTCATCTTCATCAAAGTCTGCCCTTCCAGCAAGACCTCTCTCCCACAGCTGCTTGCCTGTCAACTTCTTTTCTTCCTTTGCCGGACCCTTCTTGGTAGCCTTCTTCTCCTCCGCCTCCTTCTCCTCGCGCTTCCTCTTCTCTTCCTCCTCCATCTCCTTTATAAACTTGTCGCGCCACTCCAAGAATGTCTCCCGATTGACAGCAGTGCCCTGGAACTTCCGGTTCTCCTCCTCTTCCGCCTTCTTCGCCTCCATCTCTTTTTCGGCGTGAACGGCATTCACGCGCTCCGCCATGAGCTCTTCGGCGCTCTCCTTCAAAGCACTAACCAGTGTGAATACCATAGCCATTCCCAAGTTTTCCTCAATGGTCGGTTGCAAGGCTTCGAGAAGCCGGTCCCGGTCTTCACTGATGTCTAGTCGGGGGTGTTTCGGTGCGTTCGGAGGCGCACTCAACTCTAGTTCCGGTGCAACATCCGGGTAGTCTGCTGGGTATGTGACTTGCAGAAGCAAGACGGGCTGCTCTGTTTCTTCGACGTCATTTTCGGGTGCGTCAAGAGCAATTGATATCCGGTATGAGGTGTCAGAAATATCTGGGGTAAGATCCGGTCAGCAAATTTGTTGTTTGAGAGACTTCAGATGATGCGTGCAATGTGGATATGGCGCTATCTTCTTACCTGTGATTTCCTCAGGAAAAATGGAGTCGAGCACTTCGCGCTCTTCAATCTGGTCTTCGCGGCCCATGCTGCTTCAATTCTGCCGCCGGCGGGGCTGGAGGGGTATTGTTTGCTTTTGGGTTTAGGGACAAGAACGATGGCTGGAATTCAAGATTCAGACACTTGATAATCTAGCAATATAATATATCGAAGAGACCAAAGAAATAGTCCCTAGTCTTATGGTCTAGACGTTGACAGGCTCGTGCTTGGGAATTGAATTCCTCGGTCTTAGGTGTGTAAGTAGAATACGCTGCGATCCCACATGCAAACCAAACAAACAGATAAGGAATCGCCCAAATTTGTCCCGCCCGAAAAAGGGAATTTCTATGCTCCGCCTTCTCGAAATTCAAAGCTTCAAGCATTTACACTCAATATTCTTATTTATAAAACTTTTCTACCCTTTGCTCCGTGTCCTCGAATAACCCCTTCAAGTACGTTTGACATATAATTCCGTTACAGCTTATAGATCATGGGAAAATCAAGACCTCACAACAAGAAGGCCTCCAAATCTCGCGCAAAGTCCGTTTTGGGCGCTGGCGGCTCGGTTTCGAAACAAAAAATGAACGAAGACCCCTCTAAGCTCCTCGAGCAGGCGACGATACAGCTCCAGACCGGTCAACCGGACGCAGCTCTCCAGTTAGCTCAGCAAGCCCTTAACAGTGCGCCGGACAATTCTCCATCTCAATTAGTGGCACTTAATACCGTTGGAGAGATCTACGTTGAGCTGGGCGAGATCGATGTTGCAAAACAACACTTTATGCGTGCCATCGAGCTCGACCCGAATGGCACAATCCCTGAGGCTGAAGGAGGCGGTGCTGAGAAGTTCCTATGGCTAGCTCAATTGAGCGAACAGGGTGGGAAGGACAGCGTTCAATGGTTCGAGAAGGGAGTGTCGTCGCTCAGGCATATTATCCAGCAGCTCGAGCAGAAACCTGGCCCTGAGGAAGCGCTTGAGCTGGCCGAGAAGAAGCGCAAGATGGCGAATGCCCTCTGCGCTGTTGCTGAGATCTACATGACCGATCTCTCGTAAGTCGCTCTTCAATTCACTCTTCCTCCCATGGGTGGGTTGGTCGCAGATCTTTTGGTGCTGACTGTCAATAGATGGGAAGAAGATGCGGAAAACCGTTGCGAATCACTCATCACAGAAGCCCTCCTTGTCGCTCCGAATGCGCCCGAAGTACTACAGACCCTCGCATCGATCCGGATCTCGCAGCTACGGACAGAAGAGGCTCAAGCAGCGCTCAGGAGGAGTCTCGATCTTTGGAAAGACCTACCGCCCGAGGACTTGTCCATTCCTGACTTTGCGACAAGAATCAGTCTTTCCCGTCTTCTGATGGAGGTCAGTATGGAGCTTGAGGCTCTCGAGGTGCTGGAACGCCTAATCCTGGAGGACGATCAAAGTGTGGAGGCATGGTATCTTGGAGGATGGTGTCTGCAGCTCCTGGCCGGGAAGCAACAAGCACCGAAGGATGCCGATGAAGAGGACGGCAACACCCCAGAGGCCAGGCGCCATGCATCACTCGTGGCTAGCCGCGAATGGCTCAAGCAAAGCTTGACGCTGTACGACCTCGTTCAGTATGAGGACGAGAGGCTTAAGGAACACGCACTGGAATTGGTCCAAGAGATGAACAAGGAGATCGGTGAAGATATGAATGACGATGAGGCCGGGGAGGGTGAGGAAGATTGGGAGGACGAGGAGATCGAGGTGGAATCTGATGGCGATGACGAGATGGCTGACTCATAAAAAAGCTGCATGTTTGATTGTTACGAAAGTTCTTTGTCACGATACCAGTATATAAAAGGGCATGTTTTCCGATACAACCTACGGGTCTTCAAAGGACTCCGATCGCGGACACGATCCAGCAGTAGTCGAACTAGTAGTAAGTACTAGCAGTAGCTGCGATAGTCTCTCAATCAGCAGACGGCGCCGGATAAAGTAGGATCCGACCGCTTTCCCCGGGCGATAACCAGAGCCAAATTTATTCCGGCAGTTCGACTTCGAGTGGCAAATAGCTCAATGTGAGTGAGGAGTCGTCTTAGAGGTTGCTGGAAGCGTCCTATCTTCCCACACAGGATGGACCTTGTTTCAGCGCCCAGCGGGGAGGATTCCTCGTTGAAGGATCCGGTGGTCCAGGTGGAAGCCGTTGATATTGCCTCCGCAGTATCAAAGGCCGGCACCGCAACGGAGAATACAGCCGCTGCGAAGGAAGAAGTGACTCAGTCGGAGTATGAGACCGATAGCGACGGCTCAGGCGACGAGTGGGAGACTCAGTCTCTATACGAAGACGCTATCCAAGTCCTACGCGACGATCAGCTCCGTGAGGGTGGTAAGCACCCTATATGATGTCCTCTATATGCGCGCACTGACCGGATCTTCTCCTTGTTTTAGTACCGGATGCCTGCACACTGGAAGAGGCCGTCGCCTATCGGAAACGACTCCACGAGGTTGGCAAGGCTGCATTTGTTGAAGAAACGCTGGGTCAGGACAAAGTGACTGCGCGGAAGCTGTGTACTGCGTTCGGCATCTTGCCCCCAGCCTTTCTAGACGATGCGCCGGACGAGGCCTTTCATCCTCTCCTGGCTATCGCGATTTCGCGCGAGTTCTCCAGGCGCCCGAAGCTCCCACAATATAATACAATTGATGATGCGGTCAAGTTGCTCAAGGAGAGCAAGAATATCGTCGTCTTAACTGGCGCTGGTGTATGTTGATCAAGAGTATTGGTACCCGTTTATGAAACGTGCGCTGATAGGATACTCTCAGATTTCTACGAGTCTCGGAATACCCGATTTCCGTTCAAAGGACACTGGTCTCTATTCACAGTTGGCGCATCTAGGCCTGAGCGATCCTCAGGAGGTGTTTGACATCCAGGTGTTTCGCGAGGATCCCAGCATCTTCTTCTCGATCGCGAAGGACATTCTTCCCACCGAGAAGAAGTTCTCGCCAACCCACGCTTTTATCCGTGTTCTGCAGGATAAGGGGAAATTATTGACCAACTACACTCAGAATATCGACAATATCGAGGCGAATGCCGGTGTTCTCCCAGAGAACATCGTGCAATGTCACGGATCGTTCGCCACGGCTACGTGTGTCAAATGTCAGTACAAGGTCAAGGGTGATGAGATATTCGATGAGATCAAGCAGGGAGTTATCCCTCAGTGTGACGCTTGCCGCAAGCGCATCGCAGAAGATTCGGGAATCAAGAGGAAGCGGAGCAGCAACGGAGTCCACAAGAACCGCAAGGACAATGATGGGGACAGCACTGATGACGACTACGAAATACCCACCCCTGGTGTCATGAAGGTTCGTGGAAAACTACATCTTGTACATTTGTTACTTACAATATGCTGATTCAAACTTCTTCAGCCCGACATTACATTCTTTGGGGAAGATCTTCCTGATGAGTTTGGCCGCCGGTTGCTACACCATGACCGTGATCAAGTGGACCTCGTTATTGTTATTGGGACTTCATTGAAGGTCGCTCCTGTAGCGGAGGTTCCGGGCGTGCTCCCTCGAACGGTTCCTCAGCTTTATATCTCGCGTACCGTAAGCCACCTTTTTCTTGTGCTCTTGCGCCTCGAGCTTTGCTAACAAGATCTCAGCCTGTGTCGCATACGGAATTCGATATCGATCTACTGGGCGACTGCGACGTGGTGGTGTCTGAGCTCTGTCGTCGAGCTGGATGGGAACTGAAGCATGAGATGATTCCCGAAGACGAGAAGGTTGAAGTGCTTCCAGTGGAGGGTTACGAGTCACGACATGTGTTTAAGGTTGTCGGCGCATAGCGGCGGCGTTTGGTCCTGGTCATCTCTGGCTCTGTGAATATCAAGGACGGCGTAAGTTTGGGTTTTTCTTTGAACAGTTTCTGTGGGTCATCTTGTTGGGAGGCATAGTATGTACGAGGGATG